TTGGAAGACCGAATGTAAGACGGGCCTGCGTGCCTAATTTGTGACCCTTTGAAAAAAAAGGTCGTTGGTTCGTTCGTTCGCTCGTTCCATCTCCATAAAGGTCAAACTCGTAAAATGAACACCGCAGCCACCAAATGAACCAGCTTTTAAATCACTAGACAAACGTCTTGCCCACTTCGCCACATCTCAGCTTGTCTGTCCTCTATCATGGTGCGTTGATTTCGAACAGGAGCATGAGACAAATTGAAGACCGTCTTTGTATGTACAAAAAGACACACATCCCGCACCTTAAATCGGGCGCCAGCTTCTTTTGTGCTGGTTTTGCTTAAATGTATTTCAGACTTCTGCCACACGTTCTCATCGTGCACCACACATATATTTGCTTACACTGGGCTAAACTGAACTGGGAAGGAATCTCGGAGCTGGAGACTTCTATTGATACAGTTTCCAGAAAAACCGCAGACACTCACCAGACAACATGGATGGTTGGTAACATCTTCATACCGGCTCATTTAGACAATGTGTAATGTCCACGGGTTTACTCTTCTTTTAATGGTTCTGATATCTGTTGATCTAGAGCTCTACTGAATGGCAACATCCTGTTTCCTATAAAAGATTCACATAAACCACAGTTATCCAACGACAAAGAACAGGAATATCCCGTGTGACTTCACACCACAAAGAATAGGAAACCAAATAAGATAGCCAAGGAACCTTCCTTCATTTAGCAGGCCTACGGGCGGCTGAAAGAGGATCAAGTTTGAAATTTTCTCTAATCAATTGGAATTTGAATTGGAACAGTTATCCTAGAGGTGAAATCAAGCTTTCCTCCAAAGTGGGAGTACATCGCCTTGAAAGACAGAAAATCGACAGACTGCACACAAATATGCCAGATGTGTCACTCGGGTGCACACGCAAACACATTTCCTAAGTCCAGAAATAGCCGCACAACCAGATTTCGCAAACAAATATACATGGCTATTGGGTTCATTATGAAGCTATAATGGGTCAGAGATCATTTACCAGTTATTTAAAACATACGCTTTTCTCTTTATTATCCTTGTGAGCTCGGACGCCCGTGTTTATTGTTGTGCAGGCAAAAAATCCCTTGGCAGTTTTAAATCGAAAAGAGTAGCCTAAAGGCGATGTCAGGACAAAATTTGGAGTTAAAAATCTACCCAAAGTATTATCTGGATCCTCGCTGGTGCAACGGAGTTCATTCACTGCGCTGAGATTCTTCGTACTCAGGCTTTAATTAGAAGTAGAACGGAGCACTTAGGGTTTTCTGCCCTGGTGGCATGATGTTGATCCGTTGTTTAAACCTACACATATCTTCTTTTTTTTTTTAAATCCAGAAACCATGAGTTAACCTTTTGGCTCGGCACTATAAATATCGAAATTCGTCGACCTTGATTCCGTGATAGGTACCGTAAATCTGGGAGAAATCTGGCTTTTTTGCCTACCCCAGCCGTGAACCTGGACCACAAGGAGTTCCTTACCCGGTCCCCGCGCAGTCAGGTTTAACCAACTGCGCTAGCGAGCAGGACAAACCTATTTTTTAAATTATAACTAATAATGACACCTAAAATCTATTTTTCTTTCTTTCTTTTTCATTGTTTCCCATCCAGGAGTTCACATCTCCGAAAAAGAAGCAGCTGAAGTGGTGCCTAAATATTACACGCCCGGGACCGACAAAATGGATTACAATAATTTTAATAAACTCATGAAAAACTTGATGCTATGAGCCAGTCTGGGGCCTTCAGGCAGATATTTTGAAGCCACCTTAAAAGCTGTGTTATCAATGTAGAATCTAACGTCATTAAACTTCGATTTGCTGTTAACTGTACAGTGTCCTTCTAATGTTAGGTTGTGCTGTCGTTTCGTGATAAAAGGGTTAAGGGGTCACTGCACCAAAAATTTTTATTTTTTTATTTACAGAGTTAGAGCAGTTATTCTATAATGGTCATTTGTAGGTATACATGTTATTAAATTTTTATACTTTAAGTGTTAAAAAAAATCATAGTTGTCATGGCAATAGCCGCCATCTTGTGAAAAAACCAACGTGTACTTAGAATCCTAAAATTTTAAAAACAAACATAGGTATTCAACAATAGATGATGGATTCATGACCTCTCATTCTATTTAGAGGTACAGGTCTGGTTTATTTACTTTAAACGTGTTTTTAAATATTTTTCGTAGAATTTTAAATTGTAGGTTTATTGAAAAAGTCAAAAAAATCTAGCATCATAAGACAATAAATAAATTTTAAAAACAAAAACTTTCTAAAATCTACTTTTAGATAGACCAGTCCCTATATTATTGTTTACGAAGTATGGGTACAAAATTTCATGTTTTTACTCTTTATATTAGCTTAGATTTTAGGATTTCACATACACAGCAAACTGAAATATAGATATTTGAGAAAACTGACTTTTAAACTTTTTTTTATCTTAAAAAAGTGAGTGAGGTGGTGTCCTTAGTATTACTTTTCAATGCTAAATTGTTTACAAATGACATAAATTTTGTGTGTCATCTATTGTACGAATGCCAAACTTTACAAAAACGAACACATTGATAAAGTGATATTTTTGTCATAAATTGGAAAAAATGCCGTGTAGTGACCCCTTAACTCTTTTGCCTCATTCTGTAACAGTTGTGAGCTTGATTTCTGGTTGTTGTTTAGCTCAAGACAATTAAGAACTAAAATTTTAAGACAGAGAAATTCAAGTATTTGGAAGAAACTTTCACATCCGATGGAAAACTGGAACAGAGAAATTAGCTCGAGATGTGCAAAAGCTAATCAGGCAATGAGGCAACCATCTCCCATGCTGACACACAAGCAGATATCCCAGAGTACTAAAATGAGTCTTATCATAACTATTGTATAGCCAACACTATGCTATCAGTGCCAAACATGGACAATTACATCCTCTAAAAAACGTAAAAGTGTGACAACCGAGATTAAACGCCTTAGAAGAGCTGCAGGAGTTTCAAGGAAAGACACAATACGAAATTACGAAATCAGATGAATGCTAGGAATAAAGCCAGTTTTACAGGTCATCAAAGAGCAATAAATGAAGTGGTTTGGACACCTAACAAAAATGCCCTGGTACTATCTGCCACAGCGAGCCACACTAAAACGTTACAACGGGTATAGAGCAAGTGGAAGACCTCGGAAAATAGGGAGTGATGGCATTAAGAACAGCCTTACAGAAATGAACATAAATCTGAATAGTACTCTTGACAGAGCTCATCACCTACCGTTACATCTTCCCCCCCCCCCCCCCCCCCCCTTTCCGACACTTCGCTGAGTTACAAGGTGGGAGAGAAAAAGAAGAAGTAGAAGTGTTTTTCAAAAATTATTTTTATTCTTAGATCCCTAGGGATCAAAGCTTGTGTTATGGAGTTCGTGCTTCATGTGGTGCTCGTATCTATATATAAGACAGAAACAGTTATCTCTAATACCTAAATATGTATAACGTTTTAAAACACCGCCAAGTCCCCATAGGTGCTGTTTTGTTACGTTGCTTTGCTCATTTGTCGCTGTGAGGAAGAGATGAGAGCCATGCGGAAGAGATGGGAGCCATGAGAAATGAATGGGGGCCATGCGGAAGAGATAGGAGCCATGAGAAAGAGATGGTTTTAATGCGGAAGAGATCGGAGCCATGTAGTATTCCAAAAGAAAAAAAAAAAAAAAAAAAAAACAACAACAAAAGGGACACCGCTGGCTGCATACATTTACTTCATCTAACTTCCAGAGTGAAGACGGCACAACATTTATTTTGATGTATGCGGGCGTTGGACAGTCCAGAAGTTAACAGTCTTGAGGCTGAGAATAGATTCATCGCCACAAACTGTGCGCTTTTGGATTTTAATTCGTATCCATAGATACCAAGCATCATTTCGTCAAAATTATAGAGACACGTTAATTTACTGGGGAGTGGCCGTGGCGTTCGCCGCTAGACACCCGATTGCGGATCGGAAGGTCGTGGGTTCGCGTCCTGACAGGGGCCGGCCATTTTTTTTTCTTTTCAGAAATGACCTTGACTCCTAGGTCGGCCCAACCTTGAGGGGGTACCAGGTGCAGTCCTGGGAAGTACTGGCGGCCGGCGTCAGGCTGACTACATCACCCACTAGGTGCTGATTGGTCTCTACAAATACAGGTCTAGCCCTATATTCCCAATACACTTGAAGGCCTGGGAAAAGGACCTTTTCACTTACATTGATATACTGACGACTTGAGATGAAAACCGTAAATGTGTGTTATTAGTTCTGACAAGCATGTCAGTATTTTAAAACCTGGTAATACTGATAATGTCATGGACCTCCCGTCTCCCCCCTCCCCTCTGCCACCTGAAACAAATGCCTCGAGAACAACATTGATTAGGTTGACATAAATCGATTGCATTTTTGTGTTTTATCTACAATTTTACAAATGTATTAACCGCGTTCAGCCTGCAAAAGTTTAGGAGACCATGCCATGTATATAAAACGTTTGATTGCAAATTAGCTCCAGAACACTTAGCTTCTGAATCAATGTTTCTGGTAATGTATGATATCACGGACATTTGCAGCAACCTGGGATATAACAGAGCGGTTACGGAAGACAGACAACCGCTGTGTGGAAATCTGGGTTACACGATAGACAGAAATCAGTCATATATTCCAGAAATAGAGACCATTTAAGAACAGATAGATGTACAGACGGTTTTCAGTTATTGCAAACTAGATTAGGAATTGTTCAGGTTTAAAAAAAAAAAAAAAAAAAAAAGTACCCTCTAATCCCCTGACACCCCCCCCCCCCCTTTTCTTAAGATTCAGTTAACAGGATGAGAATACAGAGAAATACAGAAGAAGAAAAAGAAGAAGAAGAAGAAGAAGAAGAAGAAGAAGAAGAAGAAGAAGAAGAAGAAGAAGAAGAAGAAGAAGAAGAAGAAAGAAGAAGAAGAAGAAGAAGAAGAAGAAGAAGAAGAAGAAGAAGAGCAAGAACAAGAGCAAAA